ACCCCTGTGACCTTGAAAGTTGTTCAAGGTCATTCATTTAAACAAACTTGATAGCCCTTCATCCCAGCATGCCACAGGCACAATATCAGCAATCTGAGCCTTTTGGTTATTGAGAAGAAGTTGTTTAAAGATTTTAACATATTTGACCCCTGTGACCTTTAAAGTGGGTCAAGGTCATTCATTTGAACAAACTTGGTAGTCCTTCATCCCAGCATGTCACAGGCCCAATATCTACACTCTGAGCCTTTTGGTTAATGAGAAGAAGTTGTTTAAAGATTTTAACATATTTGACCCCTGTGACCTTTAAAGTGGGTCAAGGTCATTCATTTGAACAAACTTGGTAGAGCTCCATGCCAGTATCCTCTGTGCCAAGTATTAGCCCCCTAGACCTTCTAGTATTTGAGAAGAAGTCGTTTGAATGAAAAGTTTACGGACGGCGCACGGCGCACGGCGGACGGCGCACGGCGCACGGCGGACGACGACGGACGAAGCATGATGACTATTGGTCATCGGACCCTTCGGGTCAGATGACCTAAAAATGTCACATATCTACAAAAATCATATTAACAGGAACAAATGGTCTGATCTATGTTGATTTGAACTGTATTGAAATACTGGTGAATTTTTTTCTAATCTGTTTGAGATAAACTTTGCATAAAAGCTAAAGCAATACCATTATGACATAAACAACAATAAGCAGAAACAATAATGATATATAGAAATGACTAGACATACTAACTTATTGTATATATTTTTGTATGGAATCGCATTATATTATAAAATATGAAATGAAAAACCATAAACCCACAACACTATGAAGGAGAAATTGACTTTTGGAAAAAATTTCAATACTTTGCCTTCCCTTACACTTTAATTACACACACAACAAAGAAAACAATACCAAGATCCACAACATCAATAAATGCCAACAACATTGTGACAAATAATAATAAAACTGAGAATGACATTTTAAAAGATAAAGGTTTACTGGATTTGAGATTGAGTGTTGTTGCTCAGCCACTTATACCACTGACTGTAATATTTACAAACCTCTATTTTATTATAGTTTACACACCAGCAAATATTGTCAAATCATATCATCCCCCCTACTTAAATATACCTGTAGTGAGAATAACTACAGTAAAACTTGCAATAAACCCATGTGCCTAGTAATAAGCCCAATCCACATGTCTTGTTAAATTAGAAATAACATATACTATATCTTTGTCATGTAATAAGCTCCCCCCACCCTTCCTATTTTGAGTCAGAATTTTTGTTAACTGTAAAACAAATAATTTCAAGGGGCTAAAAATTTCAAGGTTTTTCAAACTTTATCGTAGACATATAAATTCATGGATTTAGAATACCCATAAATGAAAATAAATCAACAATGAAAATAAGTTGCCCACAAAAATTCTTGATTTTACAGTAAGTCCCTTGGGCTTATTACATTACAAATATGGTAATTCAAACTGTTTAGTCTAAAGCAAAAGCTATGATGAAACAGTAAAGATGAAAATGTTAGATTTGAAATATGAAAATGAAATTGATTAATTGCAAGAATGAATATCTATTCTGCAAATAAGCGTAGATGTCTATATAAGATTTCCTAGTCACGTATAAGTGTAGGCTTATTGCAGGACTATAAAATAGAATTGGTTGTTAGTTCTACATAAATTATATGGGTGGATGTATTGCCTTACCTTACTGTACAGATAGATATAATACACTGTAAAAATTCACCAGTATTACTTTGTAATGAACATGAAGCATGCCTGGAAAGAAAAGGTGATAATATCCATATCACACCTCTGTTTACACAAAGAATAAAACTTACCAATTCAGTAAGATCAAGGGCTCTTAATATCATCAAAGCTAATTTAGCAATACTGTTATTTACACAACATAACAGTAAATAAAGATAGAATGATGTAAAACACAAATAAACAAGTTCTCCAACCAACCAATTTGGCAAGATTTGAACAGCTGTTTTGTACAACCCACAACCTTACTATTTAAACAATTATAATGGTATCAAATCAAAATTTTCCTTCCCCAAATCACACATTTCTAATTTTTTGACTATGTTTACTGATATGACATTATCTAAGAGTTATTTCCCTTTGGTAGTGGTTATGGTTTATTAATTGTTAATAATAACATTGAGAACATTCAGAAGAAATTATGTGCATAAACAATTAAAAAAAATGTTGTTACTCTTGCTTTTCCACGAAATTAGATAGAGTAATCTGTTCAAATAAGTTTTGTAGTATCATTTCATAAACTAGTTGATATCAAACTTAGTTTCAAAATTCTCTTTATCAAAACTAGAGATTTCAGTGCAAAAAAGTTAATGGAAATTTCCTAAAGTGTGTTGTTCTGTCTTAGTCTGTCTTACACATTTGACCTCTGATCTGCATTGGAGAAATCAAAATTTAAATAGTTCTATTCAGAATGATATAAATGATGCATTTTTTGTACCTTGTTGCCTTGATTACCATTCATGTAAATGAAAGTCTCTAGAAATATTTTGGCGAAGTATACATGTTACAACAATAACATATCTGAGTCTCCATGTCACAGATTGTAAGTTGTCCTGTAACAGTAATCAAATCTTTGTCATATTTTCAATCAAATTAAAAATTTTCAAATTTGAAATACATATATCTACAATAAATATCATTTGTAATATCAAAGGATACAAATATATCAATTTCTCTAACAGTGCCATTCTCATCAACATAGGTACATTAGTTCAAATTTCATAAATTCTACAAAATATTTCTTGTCAACTGTAATATTTATAAAATATGGTGTTTATGAATTATGAATATTGTTCTATTACACACAGTCATTAAAGATTGTAATACTGCTAGAAGAAGTAAACAATGCTGAATCATATATTTTCATAAAGCTGGAGTTTCATATTTTTTCAAAAATTATTTTACAGTCGGCTCTGAACTTCGTTCATAAATTGTGTACTAACAGGCTCTCAACTTCAGTAATAAATTTTGTACTATAAAAGTGCATTATCACTGAAAATTCATGGCAAATTTTTAGCATTTTATCTAAACATCGTCAAGCAAAACTAAATTTGATAATTAAGACTACCCACAATATCAATGTTATTTAAAAGATAACATCAGGCACATATACTTATGTAGTCACTTCATTAAACTCAACAGAAATTAAAATGCAAAAAAAAAAAAAAAAAAAAAAATCAATAAGGACAGTGCAAGTCATATCTTTGTTTTGACAGAATTTTGTCCTGTCACCAATGTTTCACTTACTGTAAAATCATTGATTTTCGAGGAGAATTTATTTTCATTGATTTTGTGTGTAGTTTTAATCCATGAAATTCACATGTCCATCAACTGTTAAAAATTAGCAAAGGTTGATTCATTAGGCTATATTTGTTCATGAAATCAAGTGTCTACAATATATATATAACCACAAAAATAGAGCCCCACAAAAATGTATGATTTTCTCATTGTACAGTGCTTTCAGAAAAGGGACATCTCATGTCCAATATGTCTATTGCTGACTTATAAAACTTTGATGTTTTGTTCCATCACAACATGACAGGAACAATTTAAAACCTTTTTTACAGGTACCAACAAAATAAGCCTGGGAGTCAAAATCACACCATTGACTCCGTCACAGGGTGGGCTTATTACAGGACAATGAAATAGCTTTTGTTTTCAGTTCTGCTGAATAGAAATAGATACCAGTGGGCTCTTCACTGGACAGATACAGAAACACAAAGTAACACTGAAATTTTGGTGTTATTTATTTAATCATTAAAGCTATCTGTGCTGTTAACATTTATGCTGGAATGTCTAGAGCAGGACACAAACTTTTAACCCCAATCTCTTATTTACTGCCAAACTGAAACATCAATCTTAAAAATATTTTAAAAATACTTTGTGCAAAGAAATTTTTTGCCACCATATACATTTTGCCATTTTTTGTCAATGAACAGGGAGGGCAGATTTAAGATGGGGCAAACATTTTTATACTTTCATAACCTATCATAAAATCCTCGCATATCAAAATGAATATGTGTGTGTAATGGTACAAGGGCAAAAATAACCTGGGGTGAGAATATCCTGTTGTACAGTATCTAATTCAAAACTTTAAATAGTAATGAGACATCCAGAGACAAGACTCACAAAGATTATATAAAGATTCCCTACTTAATAAGTTGCAATATCGCTAATTATATCAACAACAGTTTTCCAAAATCATTACTTCCAGATAACTACTTACATTAGTGTTGTTTGAAATGATAAATAAGTATAATGCCATTGTTTATGTTCATTCTGCATGGAGAAAATAGGCTTATCACAGGACAATGTAAATATTGTTAGTACAGTAAATCCTTTTCAATTTCAGAATGGAAATTGGTGGTCTTATTACCAAATATGGACTAATTTGCAAACAAGAATGGTAGTATAATACAAATCACAATAATTTGTGTTCCATAACAGGATTTTAAAGAGTGTGCCCTTGAACTTAAAGCACTTTACACAGATCTGATTCTAATCTGATCTGCTGTATAAAGAGGTAAATGCATAGTGAGGGGGTAGACCAGTAATGGACTGTCACTCTTTATCATAGTTACTTTTTACATATTATGGTTGAAACAGTGTAGATGGTACAGATAGTCAATGATAAACCAATGCATCTGAACTAAATGTAGGGAATGTTACAGGTAGAGCTAAAAATGCATAGTATCTAAATTTCCTGTTATGAACCAGTATTACAATGTATTCTGTTTAAACAGGAACTGAATATTATAACAGTGCTGGATATATGTACATCCACTGAAACTGTTTTCCTCAGAGATTCTGTAAAAACGAATTATATTCAGCCGATTAGTTTCGGACAACTACAGCTGACATTTCACAGTTTATAAGATTCAGACCAAGTTTTCTGTAACAACTTTTTGATGTTCTTTATAATTAGAACAATACAAGAAAAACATGACATTGAGGAAAGAGGTTTGGAATTTCATTTTAATATAAAATAATAACATAAAGCTATAATCATATTAACACAGTATTACATTTAAACGACAACAAATGTCTGACAAAAACCATTCTGTTTTTATGTGAAATGGACAGTCTTCACAGAATTTTACAAACTAACGAGAACAGTTTTAAGAATTATGAGAATGAGTGAAAACACTTCAAAATGAAAGAGAAAAAAGACCTTTCTAACTTTCAGAAGATAAAAATTCTGAAGTAATACCATGAGCAATTCTAGAAAGTTATCTAAAATATCTACCATGTTAATACATGTACCACAACTAAATTTACCCAGCAATTCAAAAAAATACTCATTGTAAAGCTCTCATTTTTCTTTAATGAGACAGTTATGATCTTATGTTACTTAACAAAAAATATCAATATAAACTAATTCTTGACTTAAAGAACCGTTTATATTCAGATACCTATACCAGGTAATGCAGTTAAAATGAAATTTTAAAAAGTTAGCTTTACAAAATTGAATTTTTATCATCCTTTCAACTACTGGCAGTAAGAATAAGAATTGCTATCAAAATCTGTACCCTTTTTCTGTTATAACAATGTCATAGCATAAATAGCGGTGACTATTCTGAGGGAAGGGAGGTTACTCTGTCATTTTATGAGTACATTGGACAATGAAACAGTTCCACAGATTGGTCTACTGGTCCAAAAGAACAGTTGATGACCTCAATCCCATTCAATAAATGAGTTAACCAAAATACACTTATACAACCAATCATTTAATATCAGATCATTTTCTAAATATTATTACCTTTCTTTCATTTCAGAATATGAAGTTCATCATCTAATCTATTAAATTTAATTGACATCTATACAAGACTTTAAAATGTATGCTTCTTCACACAAGGAATTCCTTTTCATCTATCTCAGATTTTTACTATAGACCTTCACCATTTTTTTGTATGTTGATTTCAAATGTAAGATAAATTTGTCATCTGCCTTTCATATCTGATGGATTTATCCCTTGTGTTGTATCTTTTGGAAAGGAGAGACATGGTAATGTAAGAGAGCATACATCCTTCAATAAATGTTTATAATTTTTTTTTTTTAGTTTCTACTTTAATTTGGGTATGAAATATAAAACATTTTTGCATACATAACACATTATTTGACATTGCAATATACAAGGAATATGTAGCAATGAACTTGTTTTCAAAACATTCAGAATATAACAGTGAGAACATGTAACTTTCTTTTAACATTCATCTTTAAGTCATTCATGATGCGATGCACAAATAAGTACTTTACTTTTCCAAAAGAGTACAGGTGGAGTGAACTTCTAGTGTTTGTCAAGTTATTTCTGTGATATGTTGTGATTATATGGATGTGATGTTTAGATAATTAACAATTATGGACTTTCAACGAGGTTAACAAAATTGTTTTGTAAACCTAGAGTAAAAAATAACTACAGACAATATCAATTGTTTAATACTCATCTATAAATACATACATTCTAATGAAATAGAATGTTTGTTACTTTCATAAAATGACAACACAATTGATCAACTGTAACAACTACTCTATTTACTACAACGCTGTTTAAATGACAGGAGCACTGATACCTCAGCATATATCTTGATAATTATGTCACAATAGAATAAGGTTTATGATGAACAGAATGGCAGTCCATTAAAATTCAAACATTGGTAACATACATTTTGCAGCATGTCTGCATAGATTTCTTGGATATGTACATAAAGATGGTCTTCAATTTCTCCAAACACTAACATCTTAACAAGGATCCTGAAATTACAGACTCAAAGTCAGTGACACAACGCCAGGTCAAATAAATGACAGAGTTATGTTCGTAACACAATTTTAGATAAATGTTTGATGACAAGACATTGAAAAAAATACCTGAATGAAGAAAGCCAAGACGAAAATATTCAACCATATCAATTTCAAAAATTAATTCCTTTTACATAAAATCTGACAAAAATCTCTGTAGTTAAGGAAGAGATCACAGCCCTGCAATCTGTAAATAGTATTTGAAATATTAGATCTTTTACTTTTCATCTCAGCCTATTGCAAATATTGACCAATAGTCAGGAAAGTTTTAAAGCAATATATAGTTATATCATAAACAAAGCTACAACCATCAATGTGTTTCTTCAGAAAAATAAACCTCTTCAGTCACAAGATACAAGGTCAAATCAGGTGTCAACACTAATTTGTCTCAAGAATGTATTGTTCCTTCTCAATATAAATACAAAGGGAGGGAACTCTCCCACTTGACTGACAAGAACCCTTTATAGAACAACCATCAGGTATACCATTTTACAGAAAAACTGCTCAAATTTTAATTTGAAATGTTTTATGCAGATCAATTTTATAGCATAAACTTTACAGGATATAACCTTAATAATAAGGATAATAAATTGAAATTGTTACCTTTCAACAAACTTAAACTTAGCCAAAAATCACATTTTCTATTAAATAGTGTATAGAATTAAAGATACAAATGTTCAAAAATCATTGGTTTCATAGAGTATACAGAAAAAAAAAAATTGTCCATAACCTTTCAGAAAAACACAAAGGAAAATACTGTTTTAAATTTACAACACAATACAAAACAAAGTATAGAAGTTTACAATGAACCATGTAATATCATGTGGTTTATACAATAGACAGAACATAGTGAATTGTATTTCATTTTAACATTCATCAGACAAAACACACTCATTGGATGTGTAGCACTACATGTGTCTTCTTCATCCATACCGGTCAGAACTAATCCATTGAGTAGTAGTTCAAAGATGTTTAGAAACATTTCCGCAAGAAAGTGTCAATTCTAGAGCCTCTTGGGATCAGACCTGCATACCCAGGGGTAGAAACCGTTCAGTTCCAAGGTTCATATCTGTTTATTACCAGGAACACGAGACCTAAATCCTTGACTGGATCAGTTATTTTATCTGCTTCTACATATTTTGCCAACATCTATCCTTTTTTTTTACCCAACATATCAGATTTTCATCTCATAAAATTCAGTAAATTAATTCACAAGTGTTCAAATATTTTATTCTCCTGGTTATAACTATCTTATCTCCAGGAGTCTGACCCCAATTGTAATGTCAAGGATGTCAGATCTCTGTCACAACTGTCAGAGTGTGCCCTGGTCACACCTCCGCCACGTATGTGGCAGGGAAAATTCCAACACGTCCTCGTAATTCTCCCTGCCACCAACCATCTGGCTGTTTCTCATAGATGTTTATCAAGTCCCCTAACATAAACAAAAAAAATATAAGATCACTAAGTTTGAACATATATTTAAAGATTGAACATCTTTTAAACATTAGAAATGGATTGTATTATTGTGTTCCTTTCAAAGATATTCAACAACATAAGGCAATACATTATCAAATCAAGATTTCAGATTCCAAACAACACAAAAACATCTAAATTAACTTTATTCTGTAATTTCTTTGGTTAATTATCATTAAAAATTGACCGTTTTTTTTTTTACTCATGATGGAATAGTTAACAATAGCAAAACATTAAAGAAATTATCGGTTACACAGTAACCAGCAATAATGTCCCAAACAGTCCCTAACTGGACAATATCTATAAATTAGATCTTCTGATTCGGATTCAAACAACAATCTTGATAGACCTGCACAGTAGATACATGAATATTGAACCGTGACATTCATTACAAAAAAAAGACGCAGAAATCTTTCACATTCTGTGATAAATACCTACCTGGCTGAATTGGTAATTCGTCATTCTGTGATGGACTGTACTCGTACATAACCTTACATCGACCAATCACATGCGTCTCCCCAATTTCATCAAACTCATCATCATCTAATTGAAAATGAAAATGGTTGTACTATTTTTTGAAATAATGATATTTTAAGCCCTTAAGCACCAATTTTCAATTATCTTATTAAGTAGTAAAGTTTACAAACAAAGGCAATGCTTATTTTCCAAATAACTACCTTGTGGACCAATTTCTAATAAATTTTTACAAGTTTCTATGTGAAAAATTAAATACTCTCAGCATTTTGAAAAGTTGATGCATCTAGTCATCGATATACAATAAAACATAATTCTTAACAATCATGATTTTTTTTATTTTTTCAGATTTTCTCAACAACACAAAGTAGAAAAAGCAATATAAATAATTTGAACTTTCAAATCCTGAGAGATATTCAGTACAGAGAAACAAAAATACAGTATTATCCTGAGAGATATTCAGTACAGAGAAACAAAAATTCAGTATTTAAGATATCAGTGAGAAAGACAATAGTCATTTTGAACTTAGGATTAAGGCAATAATCGATACAGCAATTACCAATTGGCCAATGCGAAAAAAAAAAAAAAATTTCCTGAATTACAAAAGTACTTTCCAGTTATACATACCAAAATCTTCGTATGTATCCCCTCCTTGACTTGCCAGAGCGCCCACAGTTACTGATGTAACATCATACCCAGAGCTACCCTCCACAGCCAAATTCATGGGCAGCCGGAGGGTACTGATGTTGATACTCTGGAGAGAAAAAAGTTTTTTTAACAGACTTATGCTACAGTTAAATTTTCGAAACTGACAGTCAAGTGGTCTACCATGCCTCTGCTATCTCTGCTCATCTTTTCCTTGCCAGACATCTTTCCCTTCTAAGACAATATATCAAGAGAATTAACCATTTAAACATTTTAACAGGAAAAGCTGATTGTAGTGGTATTGTGTGTAATCTACTTTGCTGAGGGCTAGTTAGTTAAGTCATTAATTGATCAGACAGTCTACAATTAATTGTCATCAGACTAATTGATACAATATTTGAAGGTGGTTATCTCGTGTGTATTATCCTGAAACTGGCACCACCATGGTCAAAATACTCCTGTCACATATATATTCGGCAGTGATAGAAACAACTTTATTTGTGTGGTAATTTGACAGAATTACACAATGAACTTACTTCGATATTACATTTAGAAATATGAATAGTTGTTAAAATAAGCAATTTTACATGTTGTAACGAATAAGTTCATTTATAAAAAACATAAAACACTGTTATAACCAATGAAGTTTGGAACTATGTTTCTGCACAGAGCAGTTATTATGGTGTCTGTCATAAGGCAAAATTCAGCATAACGTCAATGTCAGGTAAACACAGATTGAACAACAAAACAGTTTCAATAGTTTGATTTTCAAACTGTGTTGCAGGATAAAATAGAATAGAGGCTGGCTACTTTTGTATTTCTTCACCGTCACCAAAATACAACTTATATTTTAAGACATTGACCATGTATTCTCTATGTATTTCTTTTAACTGTCTTTGAATCCATCATTATTTACAATAGGTAATCAACGACCAATCACAAAATCTAAACCTATTTCCAACATGTATTGATGATTAGATTCATTTGGCTCTTTACTGAGGGTAGAATCATGCAATTGATTTAACACTCATAAAAGATCTTTGAATTTTATTAAAATGACAGGAAAGATATATTGAATCAATCTTACCTGTTTATCACGAGCCGTTTCTATGTACTGGGCAAACTTATGGGTAAGTTTCTGTTGTCCCTCCAGCTTGGCAAGTGTTGACGCCATCTTAAAATGACTAGCTTCAAGAAAATTCATTGTAAACGTCACCTAGAATGAAAAAACAAATATCAATATGATTCTATACAACACAAAAGTTAAACATTTATAATTCTGAATTAGTGATCAGACACCGAATAGTTTTGAAGGAGCCAAGGGAAAGTATGGCTAACTTTGAGTCTATCTGCCTAACTAATAATTATTGTGCATTCTATCTACAGACTTCATCGCCTAACTCATGACAGTTTTGTGTTTGCTTACCTGTGATAATCTTTGCCTGGCATCATCTTGAGCATCCTGATCAGCAAAATTAGGTCGCTGTTTGTACACTTCGACCAATTTTTCCACACCTGTGAAAATAAATTCTGAATATCAATTCCATCAAATATATACATGTATTTGTAAGTATGTATTCAGGGCTCTCACACCCCATTTTGGGACTGGGGCCCGGGGCCCTTAGAATTTGGAAAAATAGCGGCATTTTCCTTAGAATTGGGAAAATTTGGGGTCTAAATTGGGAAAAAAAGATACTGTTTTGCATTGGGAATGGGGCCGAATATCGGTCCCAATCTAGCAGATTGAGAGCCTTGGTATTTGTAAGTTCCCTGGTCTTGTGCATTTCTGAGATCCCCAAGTCATTCCTGAACTCTATCAAATAATTGTATTGAAAGATAAGATAATTTATCCATGATACGCTTAAAATACCTTCTCTTCCTTTCCGTTCCCTCTCTATTGCTTGCCGCAGATATAACAGGTAATTTTGTAGAGAATTTTTTCTTCGCTCAGCTTTCATGCTAAACTGCATATCTTCTGACTACAATTACAACAATACAGATATGTGATACAGTGACACACGACAATGCCAAAATCTTTTTAATTACCGGGAAACATGGTAGAAGGACAATCTTTAATTATAAGGAAAACAACAAACTTGTTATTAGACATTCATGAGGGAGTATTATTCCTGTTATAACCCCATGTGATCACAAAAGAAATTTGACTCAATATCAACAGGTGGGTTAATCCGAATAACCAGACAAAGAAATAGCATTTCTTTGTAACTTTCCCTAACAGCCATTGTGACCATCATTAGGCTTACCATGGTAATGATTTGTATCTTCAAATAAAGTAACCAGAAATGTTTTTCATTTTTTAACCATGTTTATATATATATTGGTTTATTGTAAAGTATAAGCTTGTTTTCTTATTGTTTGATATATAAGATAACCAATGAAATTTTTCCTTTACATTGGCTCATTGATAGATACACAGTAAAATCATATGTAGGAGTAGCTATTGACTGGTGTAAACTTACGTAACAGTCAAGAAGGATCTGTTCCGGTGTAGTCATCACTGATCCTTTCTGTTGGACGATTGTTTTAAGGTCAGACTGAAGGTCAACGGAAATCACGGCTTCATGAAGACGGTCACAACTCTGAAACAACATTTTTTTGTTTTGTAAAGAAATGATTTTTAAATTGTTAAAAGTGTCATCCTTGATACTCTAGGGGTTATGATAACTTTCGCTCTCTACACCCTTTAAACATGTCATGGCAAAATTGAAGGCACAAGCAAAGTAATTTGTTTGGTTCCAGGAGGAAAAATCTGACCAATCACAGGCTGATACACTCCTTTTGAAGATTAGAAAGGCGTTACACCAGACTTCAAAGCCATTACAATATAACATAATTGACCTCAAGATTTGTTTCATGTACATCAAAAGATAAACTAGCCTTTTCATCTTGTCAACAAGGTGTTGCACATGGAACTTTCAATTTTGCCATAACATATTGCAGGGGTGCAGAGAGCGAAAGTGATTGTAACCCCTGGAGTATTGAGGATGTGAAAGTGCAGGAAACTTGCACATTCAATGATAAATACATTATTCAAATCCACAATGAAAGAGAAAAAGAAAAAAATGAAACATCGCTAGTATGTCAAAATATGTAAACCAATAAATCGTGCTGAACTTTCTGACAGATGTTATCTGGTCATATCCACTGTTATTTTTTTTTTATAAAAGTTTTGGAACTGGACTCTGTATTCCACTAAAAATCAACTCTGCTAAGTCTTACCTGTGTGAGGCAGGGATTTACACTACACATTGTAATATCGATTGTTTTATCAACCTACCTGGGTTAGTCTTGGTCCCAACACAGAAATGTGACTGTTGTAATGGTTAAGATACTCGGACATCTTATTGATTCTCTCCTCCTCTAATGTCTGTAGCTGTGCACTTCCCTGAAAATATAACATGGTTATAAAGACTCACCTATAAAAGACAAATGTGGTATTTTGTGTATACAAAGAAAATCTATATGATTGCGAAAGGCAGTGTTGCTTACTCTCCTGATTCATGTCAGCCAGATATTTAATATTAGCCATATCATGACCTGAACAAATTGTGAAAAATACAAGAATCCCCAATATTTCTTTATTCTTAATCAGTATTAAAAAATTGCAAACTCAATTTTTAGACCCAATCTTAGTAAAATTTTGTTCAAACATAACATGGAGTATCATCAACATATGTGACATCAATATACACTAGAATTAATTGTAAAGTATTTTTCCTTAATGGCCCATCACTTTACCCTGGATTATGAAAGGCCATGACCAGAGACTGACAATACTAAAAACATTCATATTATTCAAGAAAAAGGTATTATTATACAGTCACATGTACCAGGCAATCATTTCCTTCAGTTCATGTGTCTGAACAAAACTATAAAAAACATTACTTTGATGTTATTTTTTGTGGGGCGCCAGGTCAGAGGAACACCAACTGCCACCAGTGAACAGAAATTATGCCTCCGAAATGTCTTGATTGTCATTCCGCTCAGAACCCGTAAGGGAACTAAGTGCTACTCACAGCAAAGGCCCTTTTTAATCTAATCTATAAACCTTCCATTACTTACACTCTAAAAAATTGCAGTCTAAATCTTTACTGTAATTTACATATGTCAATAAAATTTGCACCAGTTCTGTTACATTCTGTCCCAAAATATTACCATCATTTTAAAAATTTACCTCCATAAGTAGGTTGTACATTTTGCTACCAAATATTTTTGTATAATTTCAGTACTTTACATATAAAATGCCTTTTTCAAGGCAGTCACTAACTACTTTCAGGGGAGGTAACTCTTGCAACATTATAGATCACTAAATATCACTCTAACAAACAGTATTGATTATTCATAAGCTGATTTTATATTAAATATCACTCTAACAAACAGTATTAATTATTCATAAGCTGATTTTATATTACTGTGGTGGTAGTCTAATTCTAAATAATATGTGATCTCTAAAGATGTCAAATATTTTACAGTATTGACTGCAAATCCAATTAAAATGACGCCAAAAAAAAGTGGTCTTTTCTTTGTTTCACATATTCAATTTTAATTTGATTTCACTCCTCATTCTCCTGTGTCTATAGGAAATACATACTTTACACACAGAGAAGTCCCATTCCTGTCGAGCAGCTTCCGCTTTCTCACATAATTCACAGTAATCTTTATCTGCTTTCCGTAACAATTTGGCTACTTGTTCACATTTCTTATCCAGCTGTGATATTCAAAAATAATTAGTGAAATAAAAGTGTAAAAAATTGAAATATAACCTGAATAGTAGATGTTTGGAATATAGTAAGTAGCAGGCAAAAAATAATTCAATCAAATTTTGATGATATGGATAAATAAATCATTTTTTCCTTTTTTACCAGGATTTTGTTTTTATTTGAGGACCAATTACATAAATTTCTAAACAAATATGATTTTTTACGCATAATCATGTTAATATTTTATATCTGTAATTATAGATTTTGATGTCTATTACTATTCATAATATCATTTTTATCTGCAAATGAAAAAAAAACACAAACTTAAAATGTCAATATGAACATAGACTTAAATGTTTAGAATAGGATTGTTTCTGAAAAAACAAAACAAAAATAACATAACTATGACACATAAACAAACCTTGGCTAACTCCTTCTCAGAGTATTTTCCTTTCCCTGCACGAGCATCTGACAGAGTTTCCTCCCCTTTTTCTCGATCCTTAGCAACAGAGTATGCTCCTCTTTTAGCCTGAAACAGAAGACAGGATTTACCTAGGGTATGAGAGAAATATTTCAGTAGCTGATTTATGAACTGTATTCTGATACACTTATCTGAATATATGGTTCTAGTTTCTGGTATGAGACTTTTCCTTTTCTTAGAAGTAATAAATCAGAGTGTGATCAAATTCAAACAGCACACAGCTTTCGGAATCTCCTATCAATCATTTGTCACTTGGAATTTAATTTTGTTTTGTATTCTTTATTCTAAAGGAGGCATTTAATCTAGCAAAATGCATTTGATAGGACCTGAATGGCAATTATAGATATTATGTGACTTCAGTGTATAAACAGGAAAAAGTTAAACCATACGTCACAATACACTACACATGTAATTGCTTTATAATAAATACACTGTTTACTTCAAACTTACCTTATATTCCTCAGCTCTTCTGTCCGTCAAAGTCTTTAGGCTTTTGTCTACAGCAACCTCAATCTGTAATGAGAAATACAGAGTTTTTGTGATCACTGTTTTTAACATATATAATACTAAGGATGAGAACTTGTCATGTTAAATATATCTAGGAAATGTTCATTGTTCTCTTCAGTGGTCTATAATCATTATTATTTTTGTTAAATTGGAAAGACATTTTCAAGGCTTGATACAGCATGAAGACTTTTCCTAAGCTTCCAAATTCCTTTTCTATGACATTCCAAAAACTTCAGTTGTGGTGAAATAATATCCTGTCCTAATTCGACATAATCTTTGACTGCAATTTTAATTTGACATGACTCCAATGAGTCGACAGATGCTTTTCATAACAGATAAGGAGATTGTATTAAAAAATTCTGTACAAAGTGCTGTTAGCTCTTTCTAACACAGTGAACTTTAATTGCCGTCAAAAGATCTCATTATAACATGTAAACTGATTCTTTTTAATACTAAGGCTGGTTTTCAATGTGTGTAGATAGCATTTATGATTTCATCCCTAGTGGTGTTAATATACCAGGTAGAATAATACGTACAGGTTTCCTGGCTTTGTGCTGGGCTTCCATCAGGTGTTTAATAGGTTTACTAATTTCTTCCTGGAGGGCCGTCGATAAATTTCTGAACAGACAAGAAAAAAATATTGTTAATAGGTAAAATTCTGCAAAAATCTTTGTCAGATATACGTGTAACAAATAGCATGTAAGCAGAGCATAATTGAAATCACCAGACCAAAATGGATAGTTTTACTGAATTTACACTCCCATAAATGATTAATAGGAGATGATGCCTCCAATATTCATTTTATTTTCATCATCCATCCCAATAATCCTCTGCCTAGGGTAATTCAGGAAGGTGCTTTTGAAAATATTTCTGTTTCAAATCTAAGAATATCATTTAACTTAATATATCTATAATTCACATTGCTCTGAGTCAGAGGGTATGGAATTACTACATTACAATGAAATAGAATTGATTTATAATTTTAAAGAACAGCAATGTACTCTATCTTTTCATAATGCAGAGTTATCTTCTCTTGTAAGCAGGTATTGATTGTAATGTCAACTGTTTGAGTGAGGAAATTACATTGTTTTCTTAACATATTGCTCTCAAAAACACTTTCACTGGCTAAGCACTAGGACTAACAGTCCTCAGATTTCACCTGAATACTAGTTATTGGGAAACAGTCTAGCAACAGAATAAGTCATGGAGGTGGAAAACCTTAACTAACCAACCAACAGTTCATCAAATAGTGGTTCATGGTCAGTACCAGTATCACTAGATAATCATCAGACATATCATATTGTCGTCGACTTGCTACTATATCTCTTTACCCCTCATCATGATAAAAACTGCCAATCTGTTGATCCCAATTCCCACTTCCAGCAAATGTGTTGATCCAACATAACCAAATCCCCAATAACAAACCAATCTGGTGATCTCAACATAACCCCACCCCTTCCCCTACCCCAGCCAATCTGCTGATCCTAATATAACCCCACCCCTTCCCCTACGCCCAGCAAATCTGTTGATCCCAACATAACCCCACCCCTTCCCCTACGCCCAACAAATCTGTTGATCCCAACATAACCCCACCCCAGCCAATTTGCTGACACAAACATAACCCAACCCATACCCAAAGCCAATCTGTTGATCCAAACATAACCCAACTCCAATTCCCAGCCAATCTGCTGATCCAAGCATAACCAAACTCCCACCCTCAGCCAATCAGATGATCCCAACATAGCCCCACCCAAGCCAATTTGCTGACACAAACACAACCCAACCCCCATCCTCAGCCGTTCTGTTGATACCAATATAACCCCACCCCAAGCCAATCAGCTTATCCCAATAAAACCTCATTCACCGTTAATATGATGATCCCAACATAAACACCATTATCTATATAGTTACTTGTGTAATTCTGCCTCCTGCTCCATTGTAACTGAAACCGCTTTCCATCCATTGGACAAAGTTCTGCAAAACACAAACAAGCACTAAAGATATAAGATTCTTTGAATTAAGATGACTTCGCAGTATGTTTCGCAATCAAATTGAAGTTGTATCTATTTCTCTAGCAAGTGAGATTATATATTCCATAATTCAAATTATATCACAATTCAGGACAACATAAATAAATCAATAACAGCTTTGATATACATAATTCAATCTACAACAAGATAATCGGTAGAGCCAATGGATGCTCCCTGAATAAACACTAGTTCCAAAATGGCTAATCTTTTAAAATGCTTTTCCAATATCTCTAGTGTTGGTTCTTGTGCACTGAACTTCTCCTCATTTATATCTATCTACCTATGAAGTTTCATGTCTACGTTTCTTATGGTTTCAATGTAAGGAATTGGACAAGATTTAAATATGAAAAATAGCAAAGGGCAATAACTCATACATTATGTAACAGAGAGATATGATTCAGGTGCACTGCACTTCTCCTAGTTGATATTTATCTACCTATAAAGTTTTATGTTGATACCTCTTATAGTTTTTGAGTTATGCCCAGGACAAAATTACGACAGATGAACGAACGGAGGGACAAATGAAGGGACGGAGGAACAACAAAGAAGCAACTATATGCTCTCCGTTTGGGGGGACTCAAGGAGGTTGTCACACAAATATGTACACAAGTTGATAGTTATGAAGAAGTGCATGAACTTTCATGACAATTAGATCAAAATGAAGTTGACAAAGGTAAGAGATCAAAACATTTATTATTAAATCAGTGAACTCCACTTTGATCCTGCAAAATTAAGAAAGGAATCCGTACAAAAAGTGCTAGTTGTGAATATATATACTATAAAGATTCCTGAAAATCTTATACAAATTGATGTTGATAGAGCAGCAATGTCCTTTGGTTAAAACCACATTGCATATGTAAGTCTAGACTGTTCTTGTCCCCTAAATGACAGATCGTGAGAGGACAGTTAATGACTTATGCAATCAACAGAATTGCCTACATCTAAATTTTCATTTAAACCCAGTTTATTATACAACAGCTTACATTATCAGTAAACAAAATTTTTAACTTTAATTATTCTCATAATGTAAATATTTTTCATGTAATTTTTACATTTCGTCACAAAACAAATAATTTGGGGTGAGCAATAATAATGTTGTTTTATCGCGATATTTTCTTTTGACAATTTATTGCAGTGAAATTTTATGACTGTAGAGATTAGAACTTTGTAGAACATCTGATCATTTTTCAGAGAAATTTTGATCAGAACCCAAATTCAACTTGTTAGAAGTGGTCTTAAACCTGTGTGTAATAAGGGTCCAATAGAATACATCATGATCTTTCTTTATTCATTAAAACATTGTTTATTGATGTTTCTCACAAAAACAACAGTAGATGCATACTTTGTTGTATATTTCTTTCTCCGCACTACATGTTTTTATTCTCCATCTTTCATACCCATACCCTCAGTATAAATTGTTAGGACTAACTCGGTTCTGTTAGCATATATGATCACAATATTCCATCAACTCGTTGTTTATGACAACACCATTTCTATGGTTTTTTTTATGCATTTTGACGATATAACAATCTGTTATTGTTGTTCTGATGACAGATCACTTAGCTTTGAAACATGACAATCTTCTGAAGGAGTAAATCCTGCATCGGAGCAGATCTAATAGTGTTGTTTTCATTCTAGAAACCTTATTCTACTATTCTACTTTTAGAAAGGGCTGTGTATGCTACTGGTATCTACGACAGTTCCTAACGTATTGCATGGAAATTTACCAACTGAGAGACATTGTGTCTCCACTCCCCCAGTGTCGTGTGGTGATACATAACTTCAAAATCATGAAGTTTTTAGAACATCGCCACATTAAATTAAGGTATTGCTTTCTAATGTACCAATTTTTTCTACAGAAAAATATCTGAATATACCAACATACAATAGATTGTGATATATAAAAATATCTTTTTTAATATTACAATACATATATTGTGATATGAAAACTGTTTGCAATACCAATCCTTAAAAATAATGAATGCCTTTGTTACCACACATGTGATTCCACGTTTGAATAATAATACTCACCCTATAGTATTGCTGGAAGATTTACTTAGTTTGGCGGCAAGTTTAGCTAACCCTTTTGCGTATGTGCTCTCTAACTCTGCCCTGTAAAAACCAAAGCATGCCAACAGCTATGAATTTCTCTTATGCAATTAAATATGTCCTGGTACACACTGGTCCCAATGAAACAGAATCAATTAAGAAGTGCACGTTACTAATATTTAAATTCTGCGACTAAACCACAAACTATTAAAAATGTAAATGGATTTCTGAATTGTGTGATGGAACAGGTTATCAGGATACATATATTTCCAATTTGCATTTATTCCAGGATAAACCATCTTGTTTGTCTCTTTAAGCTGACAACACTGGGGAGTAGCCATTTACAAACGTCGTATTGATTTATCTAAATTTTAAAACTTTTTTGAACATTTTCAACCTAGAAGCAAAGCGAATACCGTTACGAGACATTCCCTATGTATAGCATGCTAAATGTCCTAATTTTATAAGGACAAGTTAGAAAAGTGGGAGTCAATTGTCCTGGGACTCGTATGCAGAATAATCATTGAATTAATTTTATCAAATAACCATTCAGACTCCTGAGAAACATCTTTCTGTTTTGAAAGCTTGCAGTTAGCGCACAGAGCACATATCATAAGCTACCAAGAATGAGCCTCCATACCATATTACAGATGTCAGTGTGAAGTTAGTATATCAAATCAGCATGAGTTTGTTTTAGAGATTATGAAAGGGACAAATCAAGTTATTTGTCTCAATCACTCTCATTTTCCCATTCCTCAGCACACACGAGGCATAGCAGAGTTTTTAACAGGTTTAAACACCCTTGCAACAGTCTGGATAAAGTAAAATAGTCAAAAAAAAAAGGGAGAATATCAAGATCTTCACTGTTGCAATAGGTTGGCAGATTGATTTTGGTCTCTTCAATGTCTCCTAAGCAGAAAAGGTGGAAGAAAAACCCCTGCATGGCAGAACCGTCAGTTGCTTCCTTCGAACATGCAGAAGTACTGAATCAAAACCTGTAAGACTATTTTCCTGAATTTGAATGAGTTCAATTACTCCTTGACTTCCTTTGACCCCTAACTCCATGGAAAACAAACCCATCCTTGCAGATCGTTTCTGATTTGCATCACTAAATGATTATTACCATCAAGTTTCATTAAAACCTGAAAGACACTTTCATGATATGTAGTATTTCTGACCTTTTCGGCTTTTCCCACAAGTCTCAGAGGGTGAAACCCCTTTACAAGTACCATCAACACAACTGACGGATGAATACCTTAAATATTCATCAAATCTAACCTCTGAATCTGAGGGAAAGTTGAAAAAAGGTTATTGTTCATACAAGAAGCAAGAGGTCACCAAATTATGATCGTGTAGTCAGGTGACCAGTATAATGATAAAGTATACAAATAAACACAAAGGGCAAGATACTAGTAATGGATCTGATGGCCAAAATTCAAATCAAAACATTTCAACATGTTTAAGATATCCATACCTCTCTGCTAGTATGATGGAGACATCTTTACAGAATTCACAGCCTTGCTTGATGTATTTCCTTAACTCCTCAAACCCATTCAGGCCCTGAAAAATACCAATAACAAAACAACATGACTTCAATATTTAAAAAAAAAAATTTGTATAAAAACAGGAATATCCTAATGAAGTGCTTTTCCACAAGTAATTTGGAAACTGAGGTATGATTGATGAAGGGTGGAAAGTGGGACAATTATCTTCACAATTATACAGGGAAATAATTGTCCTGCAGGCTTACTTTCAACCTCCCATCAAAATTTTGGTCTTCATCCTGTATTAACTACTAAAAGAATTGAATAAAATATACTGCAGCTTTAACTTCAAACATTAACTTCTTTTTAAAATTTTCCCATTATTATCAAACAAGGGCTGAAATATGCCTCAATCTCACCTCCAAGGAAGTGAAAATTCCATAAGTATTGTCTTCCGATTTTGCCTTCCGTATATATTCCCTTCAATGGAATAACCCTTATGTTAACACTTGACTTTTCCTCCCCTATCTATCCCTGTCGATGGAATAACCCAAGTATTAACAACTGATTTTCCCTCCCCATAAATTCCTGTCAATGAAATAACCCAAATGTTTAAAACTGATTTTCCCTAACCTATATAGATCTGTCACTGCAATAACCAGACTGTTAACAATATCATCTCTGCAATATTATATGACCTGTAACTTGTTAAAATGCTTTAAAGTCTATACATGCAGATGATTTACAATAAGCAAATATCTTAAATATTGACCAAATGTCAGTGTTTAAAGTCAGTCTGGAATAAAATGTTGTATAATGCACATTAACAGTAATTGATATCCCATAATTATGACAATTTTTTTATTCTGAAATTGAATATTTAAAAGAAAATTATCAACACAATTCACTGAAAATATACAATTTTGTTTTTCTGTCCAAAGCTTGATTTTTATACATACCAGAGCCATTTAACAGCCATGGATTGGCATGCGGATCTTAACACAAAATCGTGATTTTGCATTAGAAGATTTCATGATATAAGAAAATGATTTATTTTTAGATAACTTCTCTATAAATGGTAGCTGTGTTGTTCAGGACTTTAACGCCCATGCCATATATGCACTGCTGTTGACTGCAAACCTATCATGTGTATCCTTTTACATTATAAATGTTAATGAAGTGACAATAAACAAGGGGACAATATAGGCATTTATGGAGTTAAGATGATTTTCTGAACGACATGGAAAAGTAATAACGTACTTCAAAGCATTTGCTATTTTCTTGTGTGAAAGTTAACAGATTCAATACCAAATATATTAAGAGCTTGTAGAAGCAGAATTTATCCAGCAAATAGTCCATATACCTTGCATTTCCGGCAAAAAATTCCATCCCCAAAGTTTCCAGCAATTCTCCCCAACCCTTCTCCTTCCTTCACTTTATATTAGTATATGGATTATAGAGATCAAACAACAAATAATAGGTAGATGTAGGTATCAAACATCATATGACAGGTAGATGTAGGTATCAGACATCATGATAGGTAGATGTAGGTATCAAACATCATGATAGGTAGATGTAGGTATCAAACATCATGATAGGTAGATGTAGGTATCAAACATCATGATAGGTAGATGTAGGTATCAAACATCATGATAGGTAGATATAGGTATCAAACAACAAATAATAGGTAGATGTTGGTATCAAACATCATATGATAGGTAGATGTAGGTATCAAACATCATATGATAGGTAGATGTAGGTATCAAACATCATATGATAGGTAGATGTAGGTATCAAACATCATGATAGGTAGATGTAGGTATCAAACATCATGATAGGTAGATATAGGTATCAAACAACAAATAATAGGTAGATGTAGGTATCAAACATCATGATAGGTAGATGTAGGTATCAAACATCATATGATAGGTAGATGTAGGTATCAAACATCATGATAGGTAGATGTAGGTATCAAACATCATGATAGGTAGATATAGGTATCAAACAACAAATAATAGGTAGATGTAGGTATCAAACATCATGATAGGTAGATGTAGGTATCAAATATCATGATAGGTAGATGTAGATATCAAACATCATATGATAGGTAGATGTAGATATCAAACATCATATGATAGGTAGATGTAGATATCAAACATCATATGATAGGTAGATGTAGATATCAAACATCATATGATAGGTAGATGTAGATATCAAACATCATATGATAGGTAGATGTAGATATCAAACATCATATGATAGGTAGATGTAGGTATCAAACATCATATGATAGGTAGATGTAGGTATCAGACATCATATGATAGGTAGATATATATTACCACCAAAGTCATAAATCACTGATATTTTTACTTGCTGACATATCCTGCACAAATTTAATGCTCAAACATGTATGAGGACAAGGTGTTTTAGTGTTAGGAATTAGGAATATACGTATATACATTTACATCCTGGACAATACTTCTATTGCTCTGATATAGGTAGAGAGAACATAAGGAGCAATAGGACTCAATGCTTCAGTAACCATATACTATACACATGCATTTGAGAAAATTATATATTTAATTTAAGCTGATTTTTTTAAAAGTAAAATGATAAAATTTTCTAAATTGAACTTGTGATTCAAGACTGAAATTTTATTACATGTACATGTAGTGAAATGTAATGAAAATGTTCTGTGGTTATCAAATACCAGGATGTGACAAACTATTAGTCAGAAAGTGTTTGTTGGTCCAACACTGAAAAGGAAATATTTTTATATCGAACGAGGCTGGGAAATCATTCAAGGCACAGTGTACCTTTCTTTGTCCTCTAAATTTTAAAGGATTTTTTTAAGGAAGCTAGCAACTTGTGCTACTCAAATTAAGATTTTATCTTGTAATTACAAAGAAGTATGTTGTTATTACCAATTAATATGCCTTAGTTAATTGGTAATTGTAATTACGACTAAGTAAATCATGATTATGAAACAATAATTTCATAATTACGATATAGTTACCTTGCAATCATGACATATTAAGTTGTAATCATCACACATTAACACCTAGTTACAAAATTACAACATAAAATAGTGCTTACTGTGGCACAAAATACTGAGTACCATAATGTATTGTGAAATTAATAATTTTGTCAGCGCTATGAAAATCCATCGAAGAGACACCTATTATAAGAAAACCTATACCATATCCAGCAGTAGGCCTAATTGTTGGTAAATTGAGCATCCATATCTAGTAGCTGTTCAGGAGAATTTTAAGTTAAGCACACCGGTCTTTCACCTAATTAACATGGTTCAATTCCTTAACTGAATGTAAGTAGGTGTGGGGTTTGTGACCTGCCCAACAAAGAATGATTTTCAAGGGTATTCAGTTTCCTTACAGATGAGGCCCTCCACACATGTTATTCTGGGCCAGCAAAATTTGATTAACGTAATTTGATAGCTTGTTTCACAAATCAGTTTATCATTTCTTTCTCAAAAATAAAAAAAATACTATTTCAGTGTCCTGAAATAAGCCCATTGTTATATAGGGGAATGTCTACTGTTGGCTATCTGGGATGATTGTTCGGAATAAAGGATAACATACTTACAAGGACCTGTTTTATTGGTTTGTTACTGTATATTACCTGTCAGGTATATAACAGCCTGCTGGAAACTCTTGTCTCTTATTCACATAATAAATTATCAAATAATCATACTTAAAAAGATAACAAACATGGCTATCTGCTATTGTGATAGGCCCCAATTAAACTGTCAAAGTATGTGGGTAAACGGTAAAGTGTTATACAATCCATCTCTTACAACACACCCCCTCTCTCCTTCACCTTCTCCCAATCTTTTCAACCCAGCATCAAGAAATTATAAATTTCATGAATTAAGCTAGAATATATATAAACTATTAACATCATTGTTTGGCTATAGTCATAGTCAGAATGATGTAATCTGAATCAGTGTCATTAAGCATGCTGTTCTCGGTGGGACACTTTGTTCCCAATCCTAACAGTATGGCCAATCATCTTACGACCTGATTTACTGTCCATAAAACGATAAATCGTCGAACGATTAACCAAGTAAACAAGCTAAATTAGTCTGATTATTTAACTTTTAAAGATACCAAATTCATTTTTATACCAACTCATATCCTCAAATGTGATGTTCTACTCTAAAGGAAAAAGATCTGTCTAATGGTGTGTATAGATTTTATGCATGAATTTGACAACAACATTTCAATAACACATGAACATAGATCCAATTGTGTGAAAAATTTCTTCTGGCAGTACATCAAACAGATCTAAAGATACTACAAGTGCTTTTTGAGAGAAATTTTAACTGCTAATACAAAGCCTTACATTATAAGCGAGTCATATGAAGTTAATGAAATAGAGCTTAGAGCTGTAGTTTGAAATTAGCACATATACATACCCTACAAAACCCTGTACACATAGGTCAACACACAAGGCAGCTATCTACAGTGAATAATATAATGTAGGGAAATCTAGATGATCCTGAAAGAATTTTTCATTTAAAACAATAAATACACTGACCCGTGACATCCAATATAGAACTCTATCCTCTTCAAATGAGAATCCCGTCCCATCAGAGGGTGTTTTTGGTTCCGACATCCTGATAACAATGAGTGCTGACGGTATATTAAATCATTATACTTCCCTATGTGTTCATATGGAAGCAGAGTAAACTTCACTTCCTGTACATACAACTTGCTTGTAAACACACCCTGTTACATACCTCAATACACAAAACTACCGGATCAGTGATGAACAGCTTAACAGCTTATAAAAGGCATTAACATGTACCATAATGAAATACATTCAGTAAAAGCGTCTACACCAGAAGTTATAAATAAATGTTTATAGTATGGACTAATTAGCGGAAAGGCAAACTAGGAAGACAATACCAGGAAAAAGGAAAATGATTCTTTAAATAGTAAAATATTTCACTAACATGCTAACAAATCAGTATCTCTGAATCTCTTTATATCAATCAGGAAGTTTTAAATAACTAACCTAAATACATATCATGGATACAAAGATATTCCATCAATA